TTAGAAAGTGTAAGGGTAAAATGGGAAACTATATATATTATTATGTAGTAATAAGAGTTCAAGGATTGAAACCCTAGCCACTTCACCCATTATTCACGCCACCTTCATCCCAAATTCTCTTAATTTTTCTTCCACTAATTTCAAGGAAATTCATAGGATTTTGGCTAGATTTTGATAGATTTTCAATCATAAGCATTTAAAGGTAAGATTCTTGCACCAAGATGTGAGATTAAATTTTAAAGTTTTGAATTCTTATGGTTTTATATGCTTAGGGTTAAGAGAAAGGGGAATTCTACCAAAGAGAGATTATAGTGTTGGAGTTGCTCAAATTCAAGGTAAGTAAATCCAACTTTAGCTTTGATTGGATAACTACTTGTGTAGAGAAATTTATTGTATGTTCTATGTGTGTTTGGATGATGAGAATTATGGATTGAAATTGAGGTTGTTTGATATGTGAATCTTATGGCCATGAGAAGTGATGTATTTGTATGTGTTGAGTTGATGGGATTTTGGATGAAATATGAAAGAATAGATGTGGAATGGTGGAGGATGAAGTTGCTAGGGTGATTGTTGGTCTGAGGGAGTTTTGCTCCAATTTTGGTGGCTTAAGAAATATGTGGAAGTGTAACCAATTTAGGGTTTGTATGTGCGTTTAAGGTTTGATAAAATGTCAAAGAAAGTGCATATATATGAGTATGTTAGATTATTACTTTGTTATGAAATGTTGTGGAAGAGAATACTGTTCCATAATAATATCTTTATATGCCAATGCATTCTTACATTTGAGGATTTCATTTAGAAAGAAAGCAAAGAATGAGCATAGTACATGCACATATATACATATGAGAACATTAAAGAATAAGAGAAAGAAAGAAAAGAAATAAATTGTAGAATCATCCTCTAAAGAACATAATTAAGGAATGTTCAAATCTGAATTTATTTAAAGAAATATAAAAAGATGAGAAGAGAAGGTTGTTGCGATGGGGAACTGTGAGTGACAAAGAAGAAGAATAGCCCCGCCTACACGCAGCCTTTAGTGAGCAGCCTAAGAATAAGAGAGAAAAATTTGTACAGTCTGTAGAAGTGCATGTGGATGAGGACTGTGCCCAAGAAAGAATTTAAAAATACCTTACACGACAGGGTTCCAAATCCATGCCTTAACTGAGTCCGATCGGCAAAGAAAAGAAAGAATAGAAAAAAGCAAAAAAAAAAAAAAAAAAAAGAAAAAAAAAAAAAAAAAAAAAAAAAAAAAAAAAAAAAAAAAAAAAAAAAAAAAAAAAAAAAAAAAAAAAAAACAGAAAAGAAAGAATAGAAACAGAAAAGAAAGAAGAGAAACAAAAAAAAGAAAGAAATGCAGAAAAAGAAAGAAAACATAATAAGAGAACAGAAAAGAAAATGCATTGCACAGAAAAAGTTTATGCATTTGTGCATATGCATCATGCCATTTCTATTATTCCGAGTTAGTTTCCCTATTTGTGCCTACATATCGGTACGTGAGAAACTAAAATCTTAGAAAGAGCAGAGAAGAATTAAGAAGCTTGGTGTAAGGAAAGAAAATCCAGAATCTGAGTAACAGAGAAAGAATAGAAGTATTGTGGGTTTACTTACTGAGCAATTAGTGCTCACTCTGTTGATTTCATTGTTTTTGCAGGTAGTAGATGAGATGCGGTCGGATGGAACGTTAAGTAGTGAAGGAGAAAAGCAACACAGTCTGACTGTATTTTTGAGTTATTTTTGTGACTTATTACTTGATGTAGAGATTTCTATAATATGTTTAGTGAGTTTTATTTATATTTTTCCAAAAAAACTACTAGCTAGACAGAATATTACAGGGCCACCCTACGAATTGGGCCAGCCTACAATCCTAGCCATGTTACGAGTCAGGTTGCTCTACGGGTTGGACTATTCCATTAGTTGTGCAACCTGACGTCGGCTCTACAGATTAGATCCCATGACTAAGTCTCAATTAAACTCTAGGTCTCCAGCTATGCAGCACAATACTCAGAAGGGGATTACAACATCTTTACTAGATCAACAAATGTAGAGTTGATGCTCACTCTCCAATGGGACTTCGAGTCTCATGGAAGCTCTAACCACTTCAGCTTCTTATAAATACCAAGGTAGGCTTTCTCAGAAGGGACATCAGAACATACTCCAGACTTTACTTTTACATTGCCAAATTCTTCCTCATACTCTTACTCACCGCTGTCGATTCTCATTATAGAGCTGAGTTTTGACCATTCTACGACGCTTTTCGTGCCATAGCTCCACATTCACAGTGACTTATGTTACCTCTAATTCTTTCTTTCCTTTACTTAGTCTCCTTCTGCTAGTGTTGACTTGAACGTCGAAGTACCAATGACACACACCACACCGATGTCAAGGACTTTGCGTTCATTCTCTTTTTGTGTGTGTCTTTGCTCTCAAGTCTAGCAAGTTTTCGGTGAAGATCAAGAGTAGAATTTTCAACCGTCTACAAAAGTTTATGTTAGTGTTCACACATTACATGTCTTGATCATCTGACTCCCATGGGAGCATCGGGGTTTTGTGAGATAAGGAGGGTTTTGATGTATCCTGTCATTCAAACTCTATTTTTTGATAAAATAAAAACTCTAATGTTTTGGATAATAGATCCCCCATGAAGGTTTTTATTACATGCAGTAAGGCTTGGTTCATGGCTAGCTTTTGTATCGCCTTGCTTGGGCTCCATGGGCATGGGCTTGGGTGCTTCACTATCACTTCTGAGTAGGCTAGCAGTAGATTTAGGCCTAATGTTTGTGCTGGGTTGAGGAGATTGAAGTTTGGTATCGGTGGAATGGCCTTGGGTTTTCTCCAGCAGGCTGCCTTAATTGTTCTGACCCTGAGTAAAGTTGACTGGAGATCTCTTTGAGGTTTTTTTGTAGGCTTGGTGATGTCTGGGCCGTTGGCTTTCTTGTTGTGTTTTCCTTGTTCTCTTTGTAACCTTGGGCCGGTCCAAGTGTGGTTGGAGAGGGGTCCCCTCCATTAGGTTGTACATGTTTTTTATTTGATACTAATAATCGGATTTACCCAATATATACATCTATATATATATATATAAATCCGATTATTAGTATCAAATAAAAAACATTATATATATATATTTTTCAAATTATGCTTTATGATACTTTAAAGAGTAAAAATAATCAATTATTGAATTCAAGTCAATATTCTCAGCAAATTCTCTTTCAATAAAGACAGTCAACAAAAATTTATCTTCTAACTTGCCCCAAAGTGTTGTTTTAATAATTTTTATTGTTAAAAATGCACATTTTCTTGTTGCTTTTATAGAAATGAGTAAAGTTTTATTAATGTTTTAATAAAAAAGTATGAATCTGTCATTTCTAAACCTTTTGAATTAGAATTTTGTCTTTTCATAAGAATTTATAAACAAATTGGAATTGTATTTTAATTTTTAAAGATGATAAATTCTTGTTTGACGTGAAATGATTAAAAGGAAGAAAGTTTTTAAATAAGTATCAATGTAAATATATATAAAATAAAATTATATAAGCGACTTTTAAATTCAATGGGCTTTGATTATTTTAATAACTAAACTATAGTACTTTTAAATTCATTTTATTAGTTATGGGGTTTATTTATTTGTTAATTTATATTTGTTGGTGTGACGATTATAATAATCAAATAATTATTTTCTTCAAACTTTGATTTCTTTCATAGCAAGAGATGCGGCTTGATAACTAATATTTGACATTTCTTTTTCAACAAATGAAAAGTAAAAGGAAGTAATACTTAATACAGCAACAAGAAAATACAAATGTATTTTAAATATTTTTCTATTAGTTTAAGTTTGATTAAGAGTAAACGACTTTGTCACACCCAAGGCTTGTCTTAATGACATTTTTCCACCAAAAAAGTTTTAAAATACCACTTTCTCATCCAAAATTAATATTCGGTTAACTACCCAAGGCTGATTTCGACTACAAAAATTTTCTTCGTCATCATCATTTGAACCTCACTCCAGTTTTCTCTCTACATACCCCTCTCACTCGGACACTTGATTTCTCGCCGATTGTCGGCCACTGTAAAGTTAGAGTTTTCTGTTCTTAGCCGATTTCCAACTGATTTTGACGGCTAATATTTAATTAATTATCACCATTCGATCCACCAGTCTCCACTTTACAAAACCCCTTTTACCCTAGCTCCTAATAACTCGTCGAACGCCGACTGATAAAGTAAAGTGTATATTGGGTATTAACAGAATATAAACTTTGGGTGGGAAAGTGGTATTTTGAAATGGTGGGAAAGTGTCATTAAGGCAAACCTTGGGTGGGAAAAAGTAGTTTACTCTTTGATTAAATTATTCATATTGGTATATTAACAAATGCATACAATAAACAATTCATAGGCTCTAAGTACAATTTTACAGTTTATTTTTTTAATTAACATAAAATTAAAAATTGAGATCAAATATATAAAAAGAAAAAAAAGGTAAAACTAATTTCTTTGCTCGAAACATCGTATCGATTTAACATATTATTACTAAAGAAGATATGAAATCTTGTATGGAGGTTATATAATTTTATATCATCTCAACCAACACAATTCATTTGATCATACTCTTCAATTAGTGTAACAATATGCGGGTTTTTAGACTCAATTAGTGTAATATTTCCATCCGATATCTTAATAAACAACTAAGATGCTCTAAAATTGTTGAAGAAGTTGGCGCAATGTGATGAGAATCATTAATTTTGTAACAGAAAAATTAGCTTAAAAGAGTAGTGAAGAAAAATATTGATGAGATGAATAGCAGTACTTAAGCACTTTAGTTCCATTTTCAAATTAGTATAACAAATTAATAGTGGATCTTGTTTGTGCAGGCACCAATTTTCATACATGGCTGAACTAGATGTGTAAAATAAGTTAAAAAAGAAACTGTTACCAGCTTTTGAGCCCTTCCTGTTTATCTACTGTTTGTATTCTCATTCTTTCTTTCTTTTGTTTTTGATACTTCAAATATGAATAACATTACAGGCCATCGAAGATACCCAATTGAGACTTGCATTTGGGTTCCTCCTAAGATCAACTCTGCAGGGTTTTTAAAGGAATTTGATGATAATAAATATAAATGGCTGGATTATGCATCTCCAAGACTTCAGTTGCTGATAGTTTTAATTTTTTTCCTCACTCAAGGCTCTCATTATTTTCTTAAACGTTTAGGCTTGCCACTCATGACGTCCCAAATCATTGTATGTTAACAATCTCAGGAAATTTCAATAGAATTTTCCATTGTTATTGATTTTTTGAGGTACTAATCTGCAATTTTTTTTTTTTGCCTAAACCAGGCTGGTGTATTATTATCTGAATCAGTGCTTCCAAAAAGTTGGTCACAGGTTCTGATGTCACAAGACAATGTACAATTGCTAAGCACCTTAGGGGAGTTTGGCTTCACATTTTTTGTGTTTCTGAGTGGGGTGAAAATGGATTTGAGCATGGTAACAAGAGTGGGATCCAAGGCTTGTTATCTAGCTATTATATCGATCCTGGTACCGATGTTATACGCTATGTCAAGCATATTAATGTTCAGCAACAAACAGAAAGGATTAACCAGCATCTTGTATCTTTCACCATTTTTTTATATGACATCCTTTCCAGTTATTCATTGCCTGCTTACAGAATTGAAAATACTCAACTCAGAACTTGGCAGACTAGCACATTCCACAGCAATTATTGCTGACTTTCTTAGTTTTTTTTCTGGAGTTGGCTCCTTTTTTGCTTTAAGAGCAATTCAAGGAATACTTCGTCCAGGCTTTTTTCTTGAACTACTATCTGTATTGTTCTTAATTTTTGTCGTTATGGTTGTGCTCCGACCAGTAATGCTTTTGTTTGTGAAATTAACCCCTGAAGGGCAGCAGGTTAACCAAACTTGCATTTATGCAATAATAGTGGTGTTCTTGATGAGTATGAGGGTCATTCCTGAAGGGTTTAACAAGTATTCCCTCATCGTGATTTATGTTCTTGGTCTGGCTGTCCCAAAAGGACCCCCTTTGGGATCTGCTCTGGTGGAGAAATTTGAGTGTATAGCTTCAGGTTTGTTTCTGCCAATATTTGTCACAACATGCTCCATGAGATTGCAGAGGTTGACTCCTAATTTAAAGAACGAAATGGTGAAGGAGCATGTAGTTTTTGCTACAACGACTTTATTGGTGAAATTTTTGTCATGTTTGGGGCCATTGCTTTATAAGAAAATGCATAAACGTGATGCATTAGCTGTTTCTCTCCTCTTATGCTCCAAAGGTGTTATTGAGCTAGCAGCCTACACCTTCATGAGTGACGGAAAGGTATTTAATCAACCTTAACAACTAATCTAATTAAACTTCATTTTTAATTCAATCAAAATCAGATTAGAAAAAATTCTTCTTGTTCATATTATCAAATGCAGATGCTCTCTCCAGAAGTATTCCATGCAGGACTTATGTTTGTCGTGTTCGGTGCAAGCATTGTGCCTGTTTTGTTGAGACGATTTTATGATCCTTCCCGGAAATATGCAGGTTATCAAATAAGGAGAATTATGGATGCCAAACTTGATGCAGAACTGCAAATTGTTACTTGCATTCATGTTCCCAGCAATGTCACATCAGTCATCAACATGTTGAACATCTCATATCCAACAACAGAAACCCCTCTAGCTATTAATGTGCTTCACCTTGTCAAGCTTAGTGGGCTTGCAACCCCAATTTTTCTTTCCCATCAAAAGAGAAGCAAAAGGCTCACTGGTTATTCGTACTCTGAAAATGTCATTCTTTCTTTCAAGAAATTTGAGGGAAATCATTTTGGGGCTGTTACATCGAATGCCTTCACAGCTATCTGTCCACCAGAGTTTATGCATGATGATATCTGTACTCTTGCACTTGACAAGCTTGCCTCTCTTATCGTCCTCCCATTTCATCGAACATGGTACATCGATGGCACACTCGAATCCGAAGACCATACCATCAGGAATCTAAACCTTAGAGTCCTAGAAAAAGCCCCTTGTTCTGTAGGAATCCTCATCGATCATGGCAATATAAGGCGACCCATTCACTCAGATGCACGGGCAGAATCATACTCCAATGTAGCTATGCTATTCTTCGGTGGCAATGATGACCGCGAGGCGTTGACACTAGCCAAAAGAATGGCTCGGAACAAGAAAGTCAGGCTTACAGTAGCACAATTCATTTCCAAGAGTGATGAGGGCGAAGTAGACTGGGAAAAAATTCTTGATTCCGAGGTTCTCAGAGATGCTAAGTGCAGTGAATATATCAACTATATTAAGCATGTAGTAAACGATGGACGCGGAACAGTTAACGTTGTTCATTCCATGGTGAATGAATTTGATCTCATCATTGTTGGGAGAAGATACAACATTGAAGATCCACAGACTTCAGGACTCAAAGAATGGAGTGAATTTCCAGAGATTGGAGTCATGGGAGACTTGCTTGCTTCAAAAGATTTAACTGGGAAATGTTCAGTCTTGGTTGTGCAGCAACAACACAAAACTTAATAAGTATTTTCATTATTAATTAATTAAGCCAAGAGAAATCCTAGTGATAATTTTGGACAAAACAAGAACTCAGTGGGTACGTAATTTTGTAGAACAACACATAAAAATGTGTGGTTGTAATTTGATTTGTGTAAGTTTCCCTTAGACATATCAATTTTGAACATTTTACTGATTCCAAATATCAAAGTTGTTATTGATACGATGATATATAACTATAATAAAGGAGAAATAATGAACCTAATTTCTTAAATCATTTGTTATAAGCCATAAAAAAAAAAAAAAAAAATCCAGAATTTTATAATATAAACCTATTAGTTAACATTTTTCCCCCAACACTCATCCTACTCTCAGTGCTTTTTTTTTTTTTTTTTTTTTTTTAAAAATTGACTGCTACAGTCCGGTTAGCCTAACCTTGGTTAGGGTTGGAAGCAAGAATTTATTTTGAAGTGGGCTGAATTTTTTTTTTTAAACAATACTAAATTGTGAGTGGATCTATTACCTAGAGGTGGGCAAAAGTTGGGCCTGACGGTCCCAAGCCCAAGCCCAACTAGGACCGATCCCAAATTGGCTGGGTCGGTCCTAGGCCAATCACTTTTGTGGGAGTGCGAACCAATCCCAAGCTCAGGCCTGACCTGTTTAGCTAGAAAATTTCAATTTAGCCCCCTAATTGTATAATTATATTTAACCCATAGATTTATTATGTATTACATATATTATAGGGGGTTTTGGTTATTTGTTAGGGGGATTTGGTAATTGGGTTAGGGGGTTTTTGAACCCAGACCCTGTAAAAGAAAGAATAGGCTGGAAAAATATTTTGTATTTCTTGTGTCTTGCTTGAATTACAATATCAATATATATAGAGAATTTACATGAGAAGATAATTAGCAGCTGTACAAGTTAATAACAAGAATAACAAGAATGAGATAGCAAGATAAAAAACCCAAAGAAGATAGAGATAAGCACTTGCTGAGATTTGAATGAAGATAGATAAAGATGTTATCATTTGAATGAAGATATAGATAAGGCTTAACAAGCCTGGGCCCTGGAGGAGGGACCGGGCTTGGCCACCTTCCCAAGGGTTTGACTTGGTCCTCTTGGTCTCGAGCTTTTTGCCCAGCTCTACAGTCTTAGCAACCCATTAATGAACTAAATAATAATGCTACGGACACCGAAAAAACTACACCGAAATCGTGTACCGGCCTATGTGTAACACGCTTCTCATTTTTTTTACAATTTTTTTCTAGTGAACGGCGGCGTCCATGTGAGTGAACGGCCGTCCATCAAACGCCCGTCCATGCATATACAAGGGACGGGCGTCCCCATTTAAAAGACGCCCGTCCATAAATAAATTATGAAAATAAAAAAAAATACTTTGGGAACGGCCGTTCATAAATTATGGACGACCGTCCCTTACGTTTGGATGGGTGTCCATTCCTAATGGATGCCCGTCCATACTTTAAAAAAAAAAAAAAAAATGTTTGGACGGGCGTCCATTATTTTGGTTTCTACAAATTACCGATGGCTTCAATCACTAATGGCTTCCCAGCTTCCCACGCCACAGCAGCTACATAAAAGAAAACAAAACTCATTAGTTACAGTAACGAGTGATAACTGAGACACATAAAAATCCTAACTCGAGTCCACATTAAACATAAAATTCTTGAACTGTATTCATGGAAAAAGAAGAAAACGACGTAACTTTGCAGAGAATGACCTGACCAGCAGTGCATGCCATCTCTTCTTAAACTTTGAAATTGAGAACAAATTAAACACAGAACTGAAAGACTAATTTCTTATAAGCTTTATGACTCTTTTTGTTTCGGTGGGTAATGGTTCCAGTTTGAGGGGATATTTATACTCCATGAAAGTAGACAAAGAGTTAAATTGAAGGTAATATATTAATGAGATTCTTACTGGCTTAATTTAGACTTTTCAAATGAACAGTTTTTGAAAACAACTTACAATTGGCGGTTGTGACAAAACCATTCCAAGATGTTGGTTCACTGGATTTTTAAGTCCCTGGTTTAGTGGTTTCACTGTTGGTTAAGGATAAAGATAAAGATGAAGATAAAAGATGATGATGTGTCTGTAGTGTTTTAAAAGTCTAAGTCAATGTGTTTGAAATTCTAACCTGTTAAATCAAAATGGATGCAATAAAGTTTCCATGGAAGCAAGTGAAGAAGGTGCAGAACTTCGCCCGTCTACTTCTTCGTCTTCATTCACTGTGTTTTTTTCGGGGAGGCAAGAGTTTAAGATTTTCGGGGAAGTCAGTAGCGATGAAGAGAATAAGGATAAGCTACAGAACTTCAACCAGGATGCAAACGTACTATACTGGCTGGAGGACGTCAAAAAGTTGGCTGATGATGTGCAGGAGATACTGCATGAGATTGCTATCACCAGAAAGAGTTCACAAAAACGTAAGTAAAAAGTTTTTCTTTAATTTGTAGAAACCAAAATAATCCTAATGGACGCCCGTCCAAACATTTTTTTTTTTTTTTTTTTTAAGTATGGATGGGCATCCATGTGAGTGAACGGCCGTCCATCTTTGATGGACAGCCATTCACTAGAAAAAAATTGTAAAAAAAATGAGAAGCGTATTACACGTAGGTCGGTACACGATTTTGATGTAGTTTTTTCGGTGTCCGTAGCATTATTGATGAACTAAAACCCCCATTTTTTAATAAATCCCCCATCACCAATCAAATCAGGGATTTTGCAACTTCAAAAATACTAGCCCAGGCGCGTGTGAGTGCCCAGTTTTAGGAATAGCATCCCATAAGTGCTTAGAGGCAAGAACTCTCTCTTTGAAGAATTCCGATAAGAGATTATTGTGTTTCAGAATCTTCCATGCTATCTTCATTCTGAGAGCCTTTGCATGAACTCCCCACCCTAAAAACAATACTTCATACCCCCCTTGACCTTGTGACTGAGGATCATCAACCGGCACAGACTCTAAAGCGGGATCAAAAGCAAGCGGTCTTGGATAAAATATAGTAGATATAGCAAGACTTTCTTTTTATCTTCTATTATTCAAGCTCTTCAGTAATATAAAAAGGAATCTCACCTTTTCCACTAGTTGGGAGCAACTGCTTGTTGCAGTTGGCCTCTCATTCGATTCATGTTTGCTAACCCTTTTTAATTGTTTGATTGCCAATCTATTTTGGCTTTGTTAGGTTTTCCTTTCTTTTCCTTTCTTGTATCCCCTTGATTGCTCTTTCGCGCACTTTTCCATGCATAGCTCCTTGCCGTGTCAATCTGTATCGTATATCGTGTTGTATTTTATTTTTAACCATTAACATATAGCCCCTGTCGTTCGCCCATAGCCCATAACTAACTAATAGTTAGAACTCTAAAATATAAAAAATAGTAAAATATTAATTAAATCCTTTTTTTTTTTTTGTAAATTGTAAAAACGAAGAAAGAAATTTGATTTTCTCTTCTATTTACTACGGTAGCGAAGAATCAAATTATCACTATATTTATTTCTTTTTCTACTTCTTCTTCCAAGTGCAGGATAAGCCCAAGGGGTTGCGGGTCTTTTTCTACCAATTGGAGCCCTTCCTTCACCACCCCCATGGGGGTGGTCTACAGGGTTCATAACTACTCTTCTTACTACAGGGACGGATTTATCCCTATATTAAATTATTAAAATTGCCTTTAATTTTCTGCTCCTTACGAATACTTTCACACCTTAGTATTATCTTGTAAACCCTAACTTTTTTCATGCTATTCAAATCATTCTTAAACAAAAAGATAATTTAATGGAAGAAGAAGATTTACAATAAGGTATACCAAGTTACGTGCAGTACAAAATTGCAAGTTTTTAATTGCCTCACATATATATTTATTGTTATTTTTTCCTTCAAAGTATTGGTATATATATTATGTTTTTAAACTGCATTATGCTCTTGGGATTATTTGCAAGGATTTTTTTCAGCTTCAATTTTTCTAAACTTCCAATTTAATTATCTAAATTTTATTTCAAGAATGATGATGTTGAGGGTTATATAACATTAGTAAGGGGAATAACATGTTAACTCTGTTAAAATATTAAAAAAATAGAATGAAGGACATTTATGAAATTTATGGGGAGCCATAAGAAAAAAAAAATATTTTAAAATTTTGAAATGAGGTGTTTTAAGAAGTGAGGTTTCTTTAGTCCATTAGTGGGATGCCAATAACTCCACTCTTAAATTATATGTTAAATTAAGACTAAGTCTAATATATAGTGATTCATTTTAGATATTCAAAATTATGTCTATGAAATCAACAAGGGCTTTCTCCTCTTTTTCAAGTCTTGCTCTAATTTTAATTAAGAGTAAACGACATGTACCGACCCAAGGTTTGGCGAATTTGCAAGTTTCCACTTGCGATTTCATAAATTCTAGATTCCCACCTATAAATTAACACTGTTAATGAATTTTGACATCTGACACAGTTGCAAACAGTGCTATTACCATGCTACCCTTATTTTGATTACAACGCCACCCAACCACCATCACCATCACCATCCAACCACCACCACCACCTTTCAACACCATTATGACCAAAACCCCAAATTCACCACCACCATACCACCCATTCACCACGATCACAATCCCTTTAAATCCCAAATTCAGCCCCGCTGCCAACAAACAACCACTACAAACCACCACCAAATCACTCACAAATTCAGCCACAAACCCACTCAAAAACCTCCACAAACTCAGCTCTAAACCCATCCAAAAACAACCACAAACCGAGCCCACCACTATTCCACCCATTCAGCATCATCGCAATCTCTCTAAACCCCAAAGTCAGCCCTACCGCCACCAAATTACTCACAAATTCAACCACAAACCACCACCCACTCACAAATTTAGAAAACGAACGACGATCTCGAGTAGGAAACAATAATCGGTGATACTTGAGATGGTTACCGGTGTGTCAAGGGAGAAGAGAGGAGCTCGATGTTGGCAGTGGATGGTGGACTTAGCACAAACACAACAAACTTGAGTGCG